AAATTAATCCGGATGGAGAAGAGGTGGATCTGAACATTTTCCCAGAAATGGTATTTGCGCGAAACTAGAATTTAGCAACGTTTCTTATACAGGAAAGGAACTGGGGAAATAAAAACGATTCCAAACCATTATCAATTACTTTGATGCACAAAGCCTGAAATTTCTGTCAAATCTTAAAAGTGAAGACTGAACAGATCCAATCCAGATATAACACCCACTCATAAATCCATTAAAGCGGTCACCCATATGGCTCTTTTTTTTTATTGGAACTTCGGTAATCAAGACAGTAATGGCATTAAAGACAAGAGGTTATGCCTGTAAGCCCTTAGGAACAGATAATTTTTTTTTGATGAGCTTAAAAAAAAAAAGAAATAATCATCATTTTAGAGAAGATTTTTTAAATTTCGATGAACGAAAAAACTTTGCTTCAATTTTTGACAGGATTAATTAGGAATATGAGATAATAAACTGTTTGGATTAGTTTTTCTCATTTCATCTTGTTAAGCACAAATGTAAACCGATGAGTCTTCTCGTATCTCTCTAGTTCTGTAACTTAAATAAAAAAAAAAACAAAAAATTCAAGGGTACCATATACTTTTCATTTTGCTCATTCAAATAAGAATAAATTATTTGATTTTTCCCTATCTCCATTTCTTTAGCAAGATGCAGTTTTACGGCGGACTAAAAACAAAAAAAAGCTTAGATGAAATAAAAACCAAGATTATTCTAATTCTTCTTTGGATTTATTTGTAAAAAGTAATAAATAAATATTATCCTTTTTTTCTATCGTTTACAATAAGCGGACCATTTTCTTATACAAGAACGATGAAAAAAACAATCGGTTTTTCATTACCATTCCCAAACTTTATTTGTCTCTTTAATTACGCTACTCTTTTTTTTCTATATTAGCGTTATAATTTTTGAGAAAAAAGGTTACTGAATAGAATAATCACACGAAGGTTGATAATGAACGATAATACTTAGGACAAGAACAATGCATATAAGATTTGTCAGCGTGGCGTAGAAGTAGTATTCAGCTGTTAGAAGAACAGCCAAGTGAATTCCTCAATGAATTTCCAACTCTATGATATCTACCAACCGCCCTACGCGGTCAGATGTGGCACAAGGCCGAATTTAATATGGGGTATCCGAGTCGTAGGCTCAAAAATTTTCCGTAGACCCAGTATAAAACGGGGTCGAGTAGCTGTTTCCCGAGTCGAGACTCTGCCATTCGACATAGCCTCGTCTGGGGATCCTCTCCGTCCGGAGACAGAGAGTTTGACCAGCACAGCTGGAGATGAATCTCGAACTGCGGACCAACATACAGTATTTACTACTGTATTTATGTGAATGCGGACATAATCATCATCGTCCGTAGGTATGCTACAATAATTAGCTTCTTCGATAAGACAGTGAATATTGTCTCATTTCCTCACAAATGAAGAGGTAAACTGAGCCAACAAAAATGTAATTATACAGAAGGATTCTAAGAATACCATGGACGAAGCAGGTGAGCAACGAGGAAGTTTTAAGGGAAAATGACGCACAAAAGCCTTTTACACTTAGAACGAGAAAGAGACAGTTGAAATTTCTCGGACATATAAAGAGGAAAGGAAGTTTGGAAAATTTAACACAGGCCATACCGAAGGTATATTTGGTAGAGGGAACAGACCAGTAACCTAATGATGATAGAGCATGGGGTGATAAGGACAATTAGACAAATATTGGGGAGAGATATGATCACCTATATCCCGAAGAAACAAACCCCATAAAAATTTGTTACCTACGAGATGCTGTACTAATCAAATTCCCCGTTGATATAAAAGATTCGTATTATCTATGTAAAAATAAACTCTCCTGAATACACAATCATTTAATTTATTTATTTATTGCAAGGTTAGGGTTATTCAACTCTGGATTCATCAATTACTCGAGGACGAGGGAGACTCTTTCCCTTGTTCCCTCTAGGGTTGGTGCTTATATGTCTTACCGCCATTCTTTGTGCACGTGTATATCCAAAATGCAGCTGGGTAGACTACTTTCTTCCGTGAGATGGAAACCAGCACCTGTTTGTTTTGTTTGTTTAACGGTATATCAGCTCTTTATGGGTTATTTAATGCCGAAATTTATTTTTTTCGGAGCAGCAGTATTTCTTTTCTTTTTTTTTATTACAAAAATATATTGCTGGTAATTGTTTTTTTTTTCTTTTTACAAAAATCTATTTCTGGTATTTTATTTTTTTTCTTTTAATTATTTTTTCTAAATCTATATTTTCATTTTTTACCCCAATTTGAGGGTTAACTATTTGCCTATATATGGTAGCATAACAGGTGCTATCACCACGGGTCAGGGATGAACCTGGTAACAAGAGCTATTAAGAGATAATTCCAGGCTCCTCAAAACCTGCAGATCAGGGACCTTGCCGCTGGATGTAGTTTATACCTAGGACAACTGCATCTGGTGGCCGAGGGCTTAGCTTTCAGAACAACCCCCTGATACAACTGGCTTCTCTAACAGTCTAGTGTGACAATAAATGCAAAGTCTATTTTGATACCATCTAGAGTAAACCCAGTACATATTTGGATAATCAGAGATCAAGCTCTCAAAACAAATAAATCTGATTGACATTAAATTCGATTCAGACCGTCTGGTATTTGCTGGTGTGAATCATATGTTACATTATTTTAAGTGATTATCAATCGATAATGATAAATATACTTTTCTGGGTTTGAATAAGAATGAGTGACAAGTTACACAGAGAAAGTCTCTCTCTTTCTTTTTATATATATATATATATATATATATATATATATATATATATATATATAACGCCCAAACAAATATACGTTTTTATTCTTCTACTGTAGAGTCTTTTTAATGCAAACAGAATTTCTATTTCTCGTCATTATTTTCTGAATTCGATTTAATACAGAGCAAAATTGATGCCCACGGGCTTTAACTTCAGATTCTAGAAGATACTAATACACAATCTGTTTATTTATTTTTCATTTCTTAGTATCGGCCATTATCTCAAATTGGTTTATGATATCACGGCTCGGATTTATAAAACAAAACTTTCACCCACTCATATACAGCTGCAACGATACGTTGCACAAGAGATTAAAAACATCATACGCAACGATTTTGTTTATTCAACTCCGGATTTGTCACTATTGGTGGGGTGTGTATGGGTGGTGGTACTCTTCAAATATGTACTTCTTACTTACACCTTCCCCCTCCCTAAAGGCAATCCTACTGACTAAGCCTCTATACTGAGTGGCCCTTCGGCCACGTATTGGATGATCTATAGAAAAAAAAAAAAGAAAAATGCATTTATTAATGTAATTAAGTTTATGGTGGTCTTCTTGTTTAAGTTGGTGAATACTGCCATAATCCTTGATTTCATTCCTGTTTGGTGTTTTGCTGGTCTCTCGCTGAACTGCGGTCCACACATAATAATCAAGTTGGATTGCAAGTCTGGAGCCAGATGTAAGGGATGATATGGTCACAGAAATTGTCTAGGTTCTCCTGCCTGTGTGGCATGGTGCAGAGTTCTTTTGCCAGACATAGTGTCTTCCAGCAGCCATTTTCTTGACTCAGGGCAGTAATACCTCCTCATGGCACTGCAAGTCGAGTCTGAGGCCTTTTGAGAGGATGAATGGAGGCATAACGTTGACATCACTAGTGATCACTCTAAAGACCATGATATTTACTGTATATATCATTCAATTCTTTCCGAATCGTCTCCGCTGTCTTCAGACTGATACCCAAACACTCTGAAATATTCGTATTGGAGTTTCCGGCGCGAATGCCAAGGAGTACAGTATACTGTTTCCAAATTTCTGTCGAAGTGAATTACATCACGGTGCACTTTTTCTCACAGACGGTGTCCAACTGACCCTATTATACTGTGCAGTCGGTAAAATCTAAAACAAAACGTGCATGCACAAAATTAAAAATAAAATCGCGACAATTTATCCCACATATATATATATATATATATATATATATATATATATATATATATATATATAATAAAAAAACACTATTAGCTGCATAAATAGACAGGTTATGGCGGGATTATGGGCAAGAACTGAATCATTTGAGTTTTTATGCAGATTAACTTATTAACGTGACACATTATAATAACAACACTTGGAAGACATATTTACTGCTAAGCAATGCGTGTTTTGTATCCGGGGGCCTTTGTGAAATGTCTGCTTCCATTAAGAATCCGCACAGGTGATATGTTTTGCTTAAATTAATAATGCCATATCCATTTGAACGAGATAAATGGATAGATATAAGCAAATTGAGATTAATACAGAGACAAGTTTGAATAGACTGCGATAGATAGATAGATAGATAGATAGATAGATAGATAGATAGATAGATAGATAGATAGATAGATAGATAGATAGATAGATAGAATTAAATTAAATCAAGGGGTTAGATAGGAACATAATTATATAAGAACAGAATTAGATAGATAGATAGATAGATAGAATTAAGTTAAATCAAGGTAGTTAGATAGGAACATAATTATATAAGAACAGAATTAGATAGATAGATAGATAGATAGATAGATAGATAGATAGATAGATAGATAGATAGATAGAATTAAGTTAAATCAAGGTAGTTAGATAGGAACATAATTATATAAGAACATAATTAGATAGATAGATAGATAGATAGATAGATAGATAGATAGATAGATAGATAGAATTAAATTAAATTAAATCAAGGTAGTTAGATAGGAACATAATTATATAAGAACAGAATTAGATAGATAGATAGATAGATAGAGATAGATAGATAGATAGATAGATAGATAGATAGAATTAAAATTAAATTAAATTAAATCAAGGTAGTTAGATAGGAACATAATTATATAAGAACAGAATTAGATAGATAGATAGATAGATAGATAGATAGATAGATAGATAGAATTAAGTTAAATCAAGGTAGTTAGATAGGAACATAATTATATAAGAACAGAATTAGATAGATAGATAGATAGATAGATAGATAGATAGATAGATAGATATCTTCCGGTTGTCATCAATTTACTACTGTGTATTTATGCTGATGACAAATCTATTTACTCCAGCCTTAATAATAGATCAGATAGATCCGACAAAGTAAAACTGGCAGCTCCTCACAAAATGACTTCTAATCAGTTGTTAAATGGGAAATGGCTTCCGTATTTTAACACCTCCAAAACGAAACGTCTATCTTTTAATCATAGAAACCATTTTCAACTTCAATCAATATGGTTGATGCTAAACTTTCCTTCTAAGGAAACGGTTAATACCAAAAATTTTATCGGCATGAAATAACCCATTGAGTTTGCTATGCCCTAAAACAAAATGAACTAAACCCTTTATTGTCCCTCACTAAAATCTGATTCTATTTCAATCTTAGTGGCACTGTTGCCTTACTTGGATTGATAGGATTAAAAAATATACATAAATCTATTCCGTTGATGAGTTGAGTCATATTCTCCCTGTGGTCTGCTCTCTTGTTAGGATCGAGGCAAATTCTCTCTGTAATATCATATTAAAAATTTATAGGAAATGTCTTTAATACTAATGGTATTATCAGCCGTAACGATAATTAGATAATTGAAAATATTAACTATTTCCTTAGAAGGACACAATCAACATCCACTGACCGAACAAGCAGTGCTACTTTCGTTTAAAATTTAGAAAATCTTTGTATTAAAACTATTCTTCAGGAAGAAACCTTTTCTTAAGATCAGTAAATATCATTGCTCTTTCCAATACTGATGGTAGCTGCCTTCTTAATCTTTTGTGGGAAATAGTGTGCAATGTCTACATCTTGATTATCGCATATACTCATGTATCATACAACTTTTGAAGACCTAATTTTGAAGCTAATTTTAAGAGGGTCACATCATACATGTGACATAAAATTAGCGTATGTACTGCTAGCCCTGTCTACGCCGCTGACCAAATTATATATCCATTTACTAACGTCAAAATCTACAGCTGTATTTTTAAAAAAAGCCATCGCGCGTTACACAAGTATATCCTTGTTTCCTCCCATCCTGGGTATGACGATAAACTACATTCGGCGTCTTTGGTAAGACGATAAACTTCATCCAACAGTAAGGCCTCTGATCAGGAGGTTTTGAGGAGCGTGGAACCACCTCTTAATTGTTGATGTTCCCAGGCCCACCCTGACCCGGGGTGGTAGCACCTGTTAGGGACCCAGCTATGGGTAAATAGTTAACTATAAGATGTGGTCAAAACACTATGAAAGTGTAAAAATAGGTTTCAATACCAGAAATAATTTGTAAAATAGTATTACCAGCAATACATTATTACCAGCAATACAATTTTGAAGGAAAAATTACAGGCGATACATTTTTGAAGAAAAAATATTACCAGCAATAAAAATTTTGTTGGCATTAAATAACCCATTGAGGTTGATATGCCGCAAACCAAACCAAACCTTATTTCCGCTTACATATGCTATCCATTTTAGTGGTTGCTACAGTTGGAAGTCCTTAAGTGATGTCGTTACTCTTGTTTGGCACATTTCCTTGTTAGTGACTCTGTAGCACTAGTCCACATTTTTCGAAGAACGGCGATTCTTGCTAAGACCCACAGGCTTCATTGACTTGAAGCTCTTTTTAACCATTGAGTACCAGTATAAACTGCTCTCCCATAACACGAAGATTGTAATTGGTATGAGCAGAAAAAAAATCTGTTACACAGATTGAAAACTTTGACAAAATGTTAATAATTGCGAATATTGTCTACAGAATATTCTATTAACGCTCCCAAAGCCTAACACGAAATCGATTAAACCTTTTCAGTTAGAAAACTAATGAAATAACGCAAAGTTGATGATATCCCCCCCCCCCGTGTAAAGACTGGTAAATGATTGATAACAGCTTTGATCTTCCAATCTTTAATAGCATAGCAATCATTTTGTCAATTACGGAGATCCTTGCGTGTATGGATTACTGTTTAGATAATAAAATCTGCTAACCAATTTGACAAGCCACGTAAACAGACCTAAACATATAATGATGATCAAATGAGAGTTATGATTCTCATCTTAGTCGTATTATATCAGTAACACCTGTCTTTATTCTTGATCAGTGATTTGCGCGTTGTGTAATAGGTAGAGGCTCGGAGTGAAAAATCTGACAGACGAGTTCCAACTCCAGTCGTATTCATTAGATTCCCTAACGCGCAAATACCCCAAGGAAAAAATATGAATTTACTTTTTCACCCCGGGTTAAATAGTAGGACTTGCATCTGGTAAAAAAAAACATTGTTTTTCTTAAAAAGATATAATGAAATATTCAATCATAAAAATGTATTATTCTTACAATTCAAAATATGTTTCAGATTTAAATGACCCACAGAGGATCGATGAGCCGTAAAAGACGAATCAATTCATCCTGACCACTTGCTTTTAGATCTTCAACGCATTTCTACTGAAAAGAAATTACTAATTAATTATTTATATTATACATACCATAGCCCTTTTCTGTCAGTAATACTTACTTCTTATCCAGTGACAATTCCTTCCTTCCGGATTTTGAACATATTTCTATAAAAAGCATTAGCAATGTATTTAGACGAACCCTTGGTGTGCTGTAAGTTCCACCCGAGAAGCTTCTTCCCACAAATCACTGGAAGCAATTCACATGAGATTGCTTCCTGGATCACTATAATCTTAACCTGTTCAGGCCTAAGACTAACCGTTACCTTCCACGCATATAACTATAAGCTGTCCCACTTACTCTATAAAAGAAGAACTCAAATAACCCCTGTGCCTTATACTGGGTGAACACCACTATAAAAATATATATATATATATATATATTCCTATTCTGTTAGCATCACTTCCTCCCATTGCTGACCACGGACAAACCTTTTCTTCCTGACTTTCAAAGACTTCAACTAGTGAGAAATATTTATTTCTGCAGAGAAAGCTTATTAAGTGGGAGGTATTTGGCTGTACAAAGGCAATCGATGACAAAATTCAAAAGTTGTCATTGCTTCACATGTTTTCATTTACACTAGAATTCCCTATGTCGTTCTAGAAAGCATTACCTAAATATATGAGGTAAATACACACAGTCAGAAATCTAGAATCAACTCAAAATTTAAATCCATAGCAGAACTGGTACAGATTATTGCTGAGAAAGGGGATTAGTAAAAGTTTTGTACATTCTAAATTCCACTAACACCCGAGGAGTGTATATATATATATATATATATATATCAGATCGAATATAATTCGAGCATGATTAGGAATTCGACAAAATGATATGATAAAGAACAAATAGGAAACAGATCTTAATCTAACATGTTTCAATTTATTAAATCATCGTCAGAGATCAAAATAGAAAAGATTAAAAAAAAATCTTTTCTATCTTGATCTCTGACGAAAATTTAATAAAGTGACATGTTTCATCCTTTTCCTTTATCATATATATATATATATATATATATATATAGTTTTAAGCTATGCTATATTTGTAGGATAAAGCGTTCACTATCAGGGATAGAGCGTATGTAAATATAAAAATGTATATTGAAATCACTACTCAACGACGATAATCTGTTTCATGTTTATACGCAAACGTCAGTGACAATTTTATATTAGCTGGGTATTGAATTCAATGCCCATTTTCATATACAGCGTGATTGAAAAGTTATTCCATTTTTATGTATGATGGACTGTCTCGTCCTCTAAAAAATTTTATTTGATGGGAGAGTTCATCTTACATAAAATCGAGAGATATGTTTCAAACAACATATATATATATATATATATATATATATATATATATATATATATATATATAGGCTAGTGCATGTTTATACATGCTCAAAACAAAAAAGACCTATATATATATATGCAAACATACAAACATTAACAAAATATATAAATGATAACGTTTCCGATATATATATATATATATATATATATATATATAAAAGTGAACATTGAAGTCAACACTCAGAAGCGACAGGCTGTTTCATGCGGCCTGACGATTTGGTCTAACATGAAACAGCCTGTCGCCTCTGAGTGTTGACTTCAATGTTCACATTTATATTTATCTTTACATACGCACTATCTCTGATATTGAGCACTTTATCCCATAAATATAGCACACCCTAAAACTATATTTCATATATAATACCGGTCAGTCTTCGATATGTGTTGTTTTGTAATACCGGTCAGTGTTCGATATATTTTTTTGTTTTTTGTTTTTTTCATAAGTAAATCCATGACTCAACTATCTTAAGAGTAGGTTATAAATATTAACATAAAAATTTTGTCACGTTCAGTTGTCGTGCGTGACGATTGTCACTTGCACGAAACTCTTGTAAGTTTGGTAGCCAGATGTAAAGGTTGATGTGGTCGCAGAAATTGTTTAACAGCCATGACTGGCTTCTCCTTCCTGTGTGCCATGGAGCAGAGTCCTGTTGCCAGTATAGGGTCTTCCAACAGTTATCCTCTTGACCCAGGGTACCACTAGCTCCTCAAGGTACTTGATGTATGTCCCAGTGTTGAGTGTTGAGAAAAACAAAATCATGTTCGCTTAAAGGGGATGCTTGAATTTGTTCAAAAGCTTCCTAGGCGCGTACTTTCATTTTGACTCTCATAGCTTGGATTTGTTTGTTTTGTTTTACGGTATATCAACCTCAATGGGTTATTTAAAGCCAACAAAATTCTTCATTACTTGTAATATATTTTCAAAAAACATATTGCTGGTAATATTTTTCCTTCAAAAATTTATTATTAATATATTACATAATATATATTAGCTAATATTTTTTTAAGAAAATGTACAGATAATAATGTTTTACAAGAACGTATTTCTGGTATTAAAACTTATTTTTACACTTCCATAGTCTTTAGATACCAGTTTAGGGTTTAACTATTTGCCCATAACTGGGACCCTAACAGGTGCTACCACCCCGAGTCAGGGTGGACCTGCGAATATCAGCAATTAAGGGGGGGTTTCACACCTCAGATCCTATTGATCATAGGC